TCTAATTAAGTGGAACACCAAAAATGTTTTAGTGGAAAATCTGCGTAGTCGGCACTCGCAAGTTGAAAGTAATTCTTTTAAACTTATGCAATGTTCCATTTACACCTCTTTTTAGTTTTAAAAATACTGGACATTTTTAAAACTCGTTGGGCAACCACTGCACCATATTAGGCCCGCCGCGCCGCAACCGTCCGACGAATCGAAAAGCGCCAAACGCCCGACAGTGGTACAACTGCTCGGGAACATTGCCAAATCTGCGATTTTACCTAATTGACGAGTGCACAACATCACGTCTGCTTGATCTCTCCACTACGAACACTTTAGACGAAAACGAAATAATCGAAAGGGAAAGTTTGTGCATTATACCGTCTTCTAATTATTATTTTAACAACTAGATGTGACTGAAAATTTTTTGTATTTACGCGAACATTATAAATGAAACTAATTTTTACGGATTTATTTTTAAAAAGAAACGCGATAAATCCATAAAAATTAGTTTCATTTGTAACTAAAGTCATAATTAACAAAAAAATAATGTGATACGAAAACTGTCGCCTATCATTAAGTTAATTAATAAATTAATTTTTGCGAATATTATAACGAAGGATCTTCATTATAATGGTCGAAAAAATTCCTTACGGCTCCTTAATGAAAAGTATTATCATGACCTATTTTATCTTTCTGCCATTTCGTTATTCTTTATGTCACTCTTAAAATCACTTTCTTAAAAAAATACAAAGTGTATATTATAGGTTTGTATTTGGTACTGAGAAATGTTTTAGCAACCCGTAATAATAAAAGGTTCAGGAAAATAGCTTTGAGACATTCATTATTATACAATATTATATATATATATACTAGCTGATACCCGCGACTTTGCTTATTGCAAATACATCAGTGCTCTTAAAAATCGATGTTTCTTAAATTCTTAAAACTTGCGGGCCAAATGTCTATGGAATAAAACCTAGAAGAATTATATTAATTTAAACCTATCCATTTTATCTATTTCTATATAATTTACAGCAATTAAAAAATAAAATTTACATTTTATAATAAATGGGAAAAGTTCATTAGCATGTTTATTTTGGGCGTTGCTCATCATTGACCGCGGAGAAAAAGTACAAGCAGCCTAAGTCGTTAGCATGAAGAGTAGAGATAAGGAGGACATCTATAAAGTACAATCTGACAACGTGTCCAGCGGTAAGTAGCAAATAGCGTTTCAAAAACACACCGGATCACCAGAATAGCGCTAATGTAGCAAAAGTGTATGATTATTTATCTTTTTGTGTTGAATTTTGGTAACCAGTGTTTGTTTTTGGTGAACACACTAAGTATTAATTCATACCTACATGCTACCCACCTTTCAAAGGACACTTATTAGCAGAGATTGTCCTCCTTATATCAAGCTCTACACTCCTTAGTCGACGGTTATACATGACAGCTAAGAAAGAACTTTCCACTACAGATTAAAAAGCGTTCGATTGTCACTGGCCGCCGAGCGTCACACGTTCGACAGGCGACGTTGATCGGGTCAGCCGGCCGTCAACTCGCGGAAGCCGCGACGGAACGCGCTGTTGCGTCGCGTGGCGCGAAAATGGAACGCAGCGGATATAATTAAAACTGGACGGACAAATCGTTGGCGGGGAATTAACGCGCGAATTCGGTCAGCGATCGTTCGACGAATCGGTGGCCGGTGCTGGCTTGGCTGTTTCACAAGGCCCACATTGTTTTTTTTGTTATTGTGAAAAAGTAAAAATTAAAATCTTAATCTAATTTATCAAAAGAGTGGTCAGAATTTGTATTCAAGGGTTTTCACTAAATACATTGGGTCATTTCCATTAAATATATTGTGTCATTTTCCTTTTATATAATAGTGTGAACGGTATTTACCTAATTTGCAAAAATAATTGGGTAAATACAAGAAAAAAAAATCAGTTACGGTATGGGCAATTAGCCATACGACCCAACTTACCTTTCACGTTCCCTTTTTCACATTTTTCTCTCGCAAAAGTACTCGCTAAAATCTAGCACAATGGCTTACTTTTCGAGATCAACTGGACCAGCCTATTCTTTTTTCGAAGAATCGCTCTTAATTTTGCTATCGTTTAGAACAAATCTACTCTACGAGTTGCCATCTTAGGGCAAGCGACCTTCAAGACTTCCCTTTCGCTCCTGATATTCGCTTCCTACAAAAGCGGAATCCCTAAAAATCGAACTCATTTTTATGCAGATATTGATAGTCAAGATGATTAGTTTCATAAATGGGTAATAGAAGTGGGTCCCGAAAAGAGCTTAAAGTAGTTGTGAACTGGCACATCGGCAGCTACGAGCTCGATATTACGCATATTTTCAAAACGCTGAAAATGATCTCAACCTCTGATGCTTTACGCAATGAATGATAACTCATCGGACCAAAATACTGTCATTTTTCTACATCCGGGTAGAGTGCAAGAGAATGACAATGTGCATTCGACTCATTCGATTAAACATACTCCATTCTCTCTTTACGCACACGACAAAACCAACAAAGCTCGTACGCAAGGCGCAAATCTAGCGCGCTGACAATTTCGTTTTAACTGTTTCTTACTTTATATGTGCTGCTGTGCCCGATGAGGCTTCAAAATTCCGAAGGAAAAATGAATTTCTTCAGATGCCTGAACCGTGGTTGCACAAACAGAAATTACTACTTAGTCTAATAGCAGTTTTTCCCACTTACCGTAAGTATTTTATCTTCTAACCACATCATAACGGCAAACGTCATAATAGTGTTCAATATCATGCCTATTATTATCATAATTCTGAACCAATCAGGAGTCGCGAATACGAAAGCCGTGGGGGAAAAAAAACATGTTTATAGTTTTCGACAGTGCCAATATGTGTTTTTAATGGATGACGAATGTTTTGGCAAATTGTAGTGAATCACTTCACTACAGTTTTCGTTTCAACGTTAATAGGGTTCTTGACTCATGTAAAGCTTTAGTCAATGTCATGGTATCGTCTGCGACCAAATGAAAAATATATTTACATATTAATGGACACGAGAAAGTATACATCTTGCTATAAGTACTTTCCTTAGGAACAAGAATAAACAGACGTAAAATTGTGCCAGCATTAATAAAATCTCAAGTGCTTTCTATTTTAACCAATCTTTAAGATAATAGAGCATTGAACTTTGAGAAGAAAATTGCAAAATTAAAGATTGGGACCTTTCTTGATCCTTTTTGCTCAAATTGAATTCAACGTATATCACTACTGTAGGCTTCACCTACACTTTGATTGTTTTTCGAAATATTCAAAGGAAATGTACTAAAGCTCTACTAATAACCATTTGATATGTTCGTCCGTTTGAGATGCTACGTTAATTGATTACTGGCGCACAGAGACATGCATAACAATCGTGTTACCATTGTTTAAGTGGGTATTATTCTATTACATCAATCACCAACCCAAGGGCGAAAACATTCTTCTGTGTGGTCATGGTATTTCCTTGGACTAGCTGGCCTATTTAAGTAACATTTGAAACTGCTACGTGACTCTACCATAGAAAATAAAGATTCGAATGATATTGATTAACCACTTCTATATAAGATTATCTTGTGCTATTTTGATGTAGAATTAGTCCATAAAACAGTCACAGTGCAGCTATCTGTAAGTAATGCGTGGTTTCCATTTCTCTTTAAATTATTAGATCACGCCCAAATACTTACATCACAGGAGACACGGCTGCTACCATCTTTATCTGTTGATGTTGTCAGACCTGAGGGTGTCGTTAAGTTTATTCGAACGCAGGCGAAATTGTTAGTATTTTTTATACGTTTCTAGTTTCTAACGGTGTATCATTGACGCAACAAAGCCGAATATCTCATAGCGGTTTTGGCGTTTTAGAGTCGATTTTACAACGCTCTCCGTAGTGATGGTCGCGTGAATTTGATTTGACTAATAATCTAGACTCGTTAGTTGTTTAATCAGAATATATAATATCATACAATCGTGATTATCGTCTCATACGCTAAGGGTAATAACATTCATAAGAAAAAGAAACAAATGCATGCAATATGTATTGTATGTCCTCAGTACGTATTTTTCTTCTGCTTACGCTGCACTAAAACTTTCCGACAGAGAAAATCGTACGAACATAATTGGTTGTTATTAAAAAAAGTGATTCACGCGCAGTCTGGTATCAAAAAGCACACTCTCAGTGATTCAAACCCTGAGTAAACTGAGCCGAAAGTGTTCTACATGATAAATATCTTATGCTTCACTGCATTGTACTTTTATTTCATTTTTTGCTTGCTTTTTGCCAATTGGCATTAACCTCTGTTACTTTTATTTAAGGGTTGCAATAAGGGGTCAGATAATAAAAAATAGAATTTCAGCGGCCATTGTAGCACGTAAAAAGTGTGTGTTATCCCAGAACGATGATAAACCAACCTCAAACTAATGAGTGTAAGAGTTAAGAACGGCACGTTGGCTAGCAGAAGACGTTTAACACCATTAATTAAAAGGTTAATGGGTGTCTGTATGTTCGTATGTATGTATTTGTTTACGTCAACGCATTCGTTGGGCGCACGCAACGCCCTTGCCCATTCCTACGCAAATTTCGTTGAGTAATCATGTTCGTATGTTGTTAAACGATGATTTAGCGTTAGGCAGTATAGTCGCTGTGCAAAAATTACAAATATTATTATGCTCGTGTGTGCATTTGTTTAAATTATAGGTACACTATACTGTATAATTATCACCCTGTGAACAAAAACTCTGGAGGAATTCAACTTTAATGGGATAGGGTATATTTTTATTATGCCCCAGGATAATTCTTGAATGCCACCCAAAAGATTTATGATTATGACATCGATTGTAACAAAAAATTGATTATATTAAATAATTTTGTGATGACAAACAAGAGTGTTTATTCAAAAAAGAGTAGGTATTGAATGAAAAACAAACAAAATTTTGAACCGTATTATTTCGCGCGAGGCTTCCATCCGCTTCGGAGAGAAATGCTGTGCAGAAACACCAGTTACTGGTGGCTTATTGATTCTGAGAATTCTCAATGCTCCATTCAATTCGATACAGTGTTGTTTGGTGGAACACTGAATGCAGTCGTAGGCTGGCGCGGCGCGAAAATGAAAAACGAGCCGAGTGCGCAGGCGTACAGAAATAGAGCGTCGCGTCGCCCGTACCAATGTCGAGGTGATCGTTCCCTGCATTGTCTACGCCTGCCCCCGTCGGCCGCTGACTAACAAATATTATTTATCTGTGTGACTATGACACTCTGTGGGCTTCTTTTTTACTCTGCACTCTCTGTCATATTTATTATTTACTTAAAACCTATTTTTGTACCGGAAAATATTATTCCTTGCATTCTATAAATATGTAAATCGATCTTCAATGAAACTCGACTGTTTGAGGTAATTCCTAAAATTATGATTGTCAAGCCTGAAGTTCTGATTTAATAATAAACTGTATTACATAAAATAGAATTAATAAAAACTTCATGGAACATTCGACGTCGTTTTCGTTTTGAGGTTTCGTTCTTGATTACAACGGCGGTTTGAGTGTATCAAGAAAATCCATTAGGCAAAAGAAAATTCATGTCAGTTCAATCCATTAGGCATGAAAATTCTCACTTAACAAGTCGAATTGAATTAAGCTCGTATAGCTTTAAAACTATCTGCGCAATAGCTCGAGAGTAAACATTAATTTTTGAATTTATTCTTTGCATTCCGAATTTTTATTTAAGTTCTTCGATAAAGGTAGAAAATGAACTCGTAAGGTGAAAAATGCGTTTGCATATATCATAATGAAATACTTCGATATCAGAGGACAGGGCCCTAAATTAAAAAGAGCGAAAGTACTTCCGGTGAATTTGCAAGTGTAGAGTTACAAAGCCTATTGACAGTGTCGTACAAAGCCGTAAAAATGCTGCATGCTTTGGTAAGGCGATTAAATAAGCCTGAATAGTAAAATGTTAAGCTGTTAAGGTAATATTTAACGACTTTGTACGTCCATGTCGTTAATACTGGACTTCTCGTATCTTGCTTTGTTTATAATAATTCTATAATTCAATAATTATCAAATTAATATAATTCTCTAAGCATGGTAATTCTAATTTTTACAATATAAATTTTCGATATTCTGAGTTATTATTAGTTCAAGTACACACCTCTTCGATACTAAAGTCTTCGACTTTTGATAAACGCTTCTGCACTCGTCACTGGGCCGCCATTACACCAGGTCATTGGCACCTGTGGGCAACACACTTGGAGGATATTTCGCACGATCCTTAATTTCCTATAACACGATCCCAGTTCGATACAAAACTGGCTCACACTGATGTTAAACCAATTGTATTTGAAAAAAGTTTAACCTTTTATAGTTTTTTGATTTACAAGTATTTCGTGGTACGGCGTCCAAAAGTTATTCAGCTTTACGTTATATGACATATATTAGTGAATGTGACAGATGATACAGAACATATGATATGGAAAGAGATAGTAGTCTATAGAATTGCAATATATGTATGTGTATTGCAATAAATGTTTACAATAAATTGCCTCACTCAATAAAAAGCCAACCATATCATACTTTTAAAAAAAGTCTCAGACAATGGCTTCTAGAACACACGTTTTATTCAGTTAGCGATTTTATGAACTACAAAGAGTGTTAATTAGTATTGTTATTGACATTGATATACTTATTTTGACTAATATATTATTACTTTGATATTAGCTGTAACTGATAATATTTGCATGCTATTTGTAATGGCTGAACTTGGAGTTCGAAACGCTATATTTTGTCATCTTGTTAAATACCCAGTTCAATGGCAAATAAAGATATTATTATTATTATTATTATTATTACAAAATTACACCAATTGGTATGATTTGAGTGTCTCAGTTTCGATGCGCTAGTGTCATATCTACCTCGTATTTGTATATAGTATCATTGATTGTCGACACGATAACACTTGACTAATCCAGTAACTATGGATTATTATTACCATTACTAATCCAGTTACTAAATTATGGAAATTTCCATGCGTTTGGAAAAGTAACTTTATAAACTGCTCTCAATGCCTGGGCGACTGTGATTGAAAACGAAAAATATTTTGAGAGCTTCTAAACTCCTGCAGTTAGTAACACTGGCAGATTTAAAGACATGAAATAAATCCATGCAACCTGTATTTCTCTTGTAATTTACCCAAAGGGTAAAACGGGACCCTATTACTAAGACTCCACTGTCTGTCACCAGGCTGTATCTCATGGACCGTGATAGTTAGACATTTGAAATTTTCATAGATGATGTATTTCAGAACAACAAATACTAAAAAACAGAAAAAAAAGGAAATGATTTTTGTTGAATTATTTTGCCGTTTTTATAGATAATGGTACGGAACCCTTCGTACGCGAATCCGACTCGCACTTGGCCGGTTTTTCCATTGAACGACGAAATGATTTCATTCCTATTTAGCTTGCGAAAATCAGCCTAATTTAGAAATAGTAAAGCAAGTGTTACAAAATGTATGCACTTGGGCTGTTATACCTTTTTACGATTTAGTAGCTAAATGCTCGTTTAAAACAGCATATATGGACACAATTAGTGTTCAGTTTAACCATAAAAGTGTCAAGATGAAAACATTGGTTGCGTTTGGATCGAGAAATATATTAAAAAAATACAGACAGAATTAAGAACTAAATAAAAATTTTAGGCATTTATTTTGATGACGTAAATATTCATATAATATACTGTTTTTAGCATACATTTTTAAAGTGCAACATATATTGCCCTTTTATACAATAGCAATTATAATTTTCACTGCGGCTACAGTTTTTACTTTTCCCGCAATTAAGACGGAACATTTTAATTTAATTGGTTCTAATCCTATTTACTCAAGTTTGCAAAACTAAGCTTAAGTTAAAAGTAGTATACCAAAGAGTTTTAATATTTATATGTTGTTGAGGTTATACTTAATTTGTACGATGCGCGCGCAAACCGACCTTAAAAGCGACATGATGCTTGATAACCAAATTAATCTTGGCAACCAATATTTTACATAAGTATGATCTGAATAAGTAATAATTTTTTATAATTTTTACTCTATATCTAGTTTTTTAATATATTTTACAAGCATTCGATTCAGTCTCCAGCTTTCTGAACGCTTCCGTTGCAAATAAAGGTTACGGTTGAGCGATCGTAAGTTCGTTCGGAAAAATACGCCCAAAAAAACTTTTAACAATTCCGTAGCATTACAAAGAGCCGAGCAACACCAGAATCGTACCGAGCGACACGAAATACGTTAACGAGATTAATGTCTGGTACATTGTAGCTGTTTGCGGTGCTCTGTGGCGGGGCGTTTTACGTTTTACGTTTCCGACCCGAATACTGCATTAACCCCGGGGCAGGCCATTGGACTCTCGATAGTAAAAGTTTCGAAGGAGCGACGCCCCGCTAAATGCTGTCGCCCGGCCTTCCGCAAGACGAAGAAGTTTAGAGTAATTTATACACGGACTTCAATTTTCGCGCGGATTCCAAGTTCGTCGACCTTACGTATGCCGACGTCATTTTGGATTTTTAGATTTATTACTATAATTAAATACCCGAACAGCTAAATGTCCTCGCTCGAAGTCAAAGCACGAGTATAGATGCGCGTGTTTTATCCACATCACGTACCTTGTGATTTCGCTGACTTTGTGTCCGCAGTATTACTAAAAGCGGAAACATAATGAATATAAATATATTATGCAATAAATATATATTGATGCAATAACTTCGATCCTCATAATCACCACCATCATTCAGCCAGTTCCGAAGACTGCCACGAAGCACGATCCAGAGCTACCTGCAAAATTGTTGCCCCTGGATTTCCTCTTCTTATGATGGCATTTCGATACTCACACGGTCAATAATGTTTTGCTCCATAAACAATTATCTTTGTGTTTTGCGCTCGCGACTTTCTGTAATTAAGGACTAAGATTAAGTTTACTCGTCTGTACTTTCGCATACTTCGACATATTCCAGAATCGGCGAAAATAAAGCATTTTACTTTTTAACATATTTACAGTGCATTTTACTTTTACATAGTTATTGATATCGTAATATGTACATGGTGGTGCATAGATTATCAGATTAATTTAACACTGAGAGATATTTGCTGATATGTGACGGTCAAGATATAAAAAGAAATGTTTTTTACGTAAAACTACATTTTTGCACCCTCTTATGTAGAATTTTTTGTTGGTTATTTTCCCACAGAGCTTCCTTTATAGTTTCTTATGCCAAGTGAAGCACAAACTCGCTTTTCCAGATACGACTTTCATTATCAAATCTAGGCAAATGGATGACCAGATCACATCATTTAGACCTTAAAATAATATTTAAAAAAAAAACGTAAGTAGTTAAACAAATTTTTTCGGTGATAGAGCGCTTGTACCAACGAGCCAACGACCATATGACCATTGGTAAATAAATTGATTTAAATTCCATAGGTTTCGAACATTTCGCAGAGTGAATAGTCACGGGATAGACTGAAAAATTTAAATATCTCTAAATTGTTTATATTCAACAATGTAGTATTCGCTTAAAAACAAGGTATCGATTCAAAAAGGCTGTCGCGTGAATACAAAAAAATTTGGATAGTACTTTCTATCTACATAGAATACGATTAGGACAAACAAAACGCTAGAAATGAGAAGAAGGTTCAATCGATTTTTTTCCGCTGGCAAGCCTAAGATCGATGTCCCGCATATGAGATGAAATTGGTGCCCCTACACAAGGGCTTCATCACACTATTAATAAAGTGGCCGTTCTATTTACGCGTAGAATCATATTGCGTAACCCAAGCCCTAGATCAGACTGTTCGGAACGTATATTTGATAGTATATCACCCACGCGTAGACGGGTTGTCTATCAAACGCGTCAAGGGTTGTGAAATGGAATTTCAACGTTCATCTGCAATTTGGAGACGCAAATCCAAATAGCGATGTATGTATCTATTGTTAATCTTTATATATATAATGCTACGTGTGTATGTCACTAAACTTCACCTAAACAGCTGGACCGATTTTAATGAAGTTTTTTGTGTCTGGGTGTGTTAGGTCCATTCGAGAATGGCTAAGATTCACAATTCGATTCACTGCATTTTTTTATTTCTAAATTGTCGAATTTAAGTCGTGTGTCGAGTTTAGGGTTAAGTCGTGAGAGAGAACGTCTGTCCGGTCCGCTAGTATATAAATATATA